CAAGACCGTCGAGGACTTCGGCGTCGGCGGCGTCCTCGGTGCCGGTTTCGGCGACCGCCGGACGCGGGAAAAGGAAGACGGCGGCGGCTTCTTGTTTGGCAGCTTCTTGTTTAGCTTTCATCTCGCGCTTCGCCGAGCCCTGTAGGACGCGTTCGTTATAGCAATTCGAGGCCGCGCAGCCGTAGCAAAGCTCTTCTTGGCCACTCCAATCGCAGCGACCCAATCGCCAACAACGGTCACAGACGACCTTGGCGGGACAGTATACATCACAGGCCGTCGGACGCTGACTCGGCGCGGCACGTGCAAGCAATACCAGCAACAGGCTCCACCGCACCATTTCCTGTTTTCCCTCAAGACACACACTCTCTAGAACGCAACGCAGGACTGCCGTACAAAGCGTTAACGAACTAACCGCTCACGTTCAGTCTGTTAACGTACAGTCTTCTAACTTACCGTCAAGTGACAAGTGGTGACCGACAAGTGGTGACCGACAAGTGGCGACCGACAAGTGGTGAAGCAAGCATGAAGGATCGGCGCAGTTTTCTAGCGCGGCTGAACGAAGACTGCTATGTGTTCGCGTGCCTGTTACTAGGCATCTTCTGTCTGCACATGCAAGCAGTCTTCCTTGCGGCCTTCCCTGAGGCCCCGGAGCCCTGTTTGTGTCTGAGCACACGCACTTGGACAGTCATGGCAATGTGCGTGCTCTGCGAAATTCTGCCCAGCTTCCGTCACTCATCTCACACTCGTCGGACCCTTATCGCCGCCAACGAAGTTTTCCGCGGCGTCGCATTCGGTGTGCTGCTCACCGGGCTCTGGTGGAGTGCAACCGCTGTCACCCCGTCGGGGCTCGACGAAGAGTTTGCCGTGCCTATTCCGGTTGATGCCGACGGCCAAGTTCTTGTGCCCAGTGCGCGACGACGTCTGGTGGCTGCGGAAGGATGGTCCATGGCAGGAAGCGGCTGGCCCGTGAGAGACGGCTGGCCCATCACAGACAGCTGGCAGGATCGACTCACTGGGCAGAACAGCCAGGCGCGCCAAGTCTACCTCCAGACCGGCTTGCTGCTCATCATCCAGTCACTCATCACCGACCTCGTCATTCTCCTCTATAGACCCTGGGCCGAACTTCTGGTTTGCACCAAAGCATCCAAGTGCTCCAGACTTCTCCTCCGTTCCTGCTTCTCCGCCATGTGCACTTGTAGTCTCGCAATGATCGTATACAAATCCATACACGGATCTGCCGCCACCGAGTAAGGCGCCCCCACCCGATGTGGACCCCTTCCACCCACCCGATGTGGACCGAGATAACGTCACCCCCATAGCATCGGCGCAAACGCCATTCTCTTCTTGCTCGCCATCGCAGCTATTATTTCGCCTGCCATCCGCTTCAAGGCCATCGTTCGATGGATGCTGCTAATCGGCTTTACCGCGAACGTAAGTCATACCCCCTCCTCATGTGTACTTTAATGTGCACTTTAATGCATCTATCGTCCCTCCTCTCCTCGTCCCTCCTCTCCTCCTCCCTCCTCTCCTCCTCTGTAACGCCCTACACATGGTTTTCAATATGCGTTACTCAGACATACTGCATGGTCCTTACTGCCCTGTCGCTACAAGAGGGCGGCCCAGGGAAGCATCAGTTGTTCGTGGCTGAAGTCATCTTGGTCTTATGTTGTGCGCCCATTTGGTACCAATTATCACGACGTCAGGGCCTCCAGTCGCTTAGACACCCAATCAGAGCACTCCTGGTGGCGCCGCCTGCGCACAAATTCGTCCCTCCAATTAACACCGTGTGAAATTCAATGAGCCGTCGGCGCCCCGGGGAAGATGTGGAGGCCCTGGAAGAAGATGAGGATGAAGCCTCTTTAGTCGTCGAAGAAAACCGCAACAGCAAGCAAGAATTGATAGCCAAAGTTTTATCCCGGTATCCAAACACACGTGTGTGCACATATTAGTCGACCCAAACATATTAGTCGACCCACACATCAGTCAGTCATGACTGTGTAGTCATGACTGTCTGTGTGTAAACACCATGTTTGTACCAACATGGTAGTTGTTTAGATGGTGGTATGTACTTGATGATTGGCCTCCTAAAGACTTCGACTATGAGAAAGAGTTGGCTGAACGTAAATTGAAACGTGTTGGATTCGAACAGTGGGAAGCAGAGGATGATGTTGACGAACAAGGCCGGACCAAGGTATACGAGATCACCCACTATCCTGGCATGTTCCGTGACGCTAAGGGCAATGCAATCGACCTCCGACCTATGGAAGGCCGTCCATGTTACGCAAACCTGGCCAAACGGTCTGAAGCTGAGCTCAGACAGATGCTTAAAACGGCTTTAGCCAAACAAATAGATGAACTTGAAAACGGCCACTCACCATACAATGATACCGACCACAAGTACATTCAGCGGCTTATCAAGGAATTGAAAAAGCTAACCAATTAACCTGACCACAGCTAGGGGTCTATATTACTCACAGCTCGGGGTCGGGGTCGGGGGTCTTAGTACGGACACGTTAGTTCGTTGCCACGTTAGTTCGTTGCCACGTTAGAGTGTGTATCTTGCGATGAATATGTAGGGGAAGAGTTTGCCCGTGAAAATGAGCCAGCGGTCTCCGAGGGTGGCAATTCCGTTCCAGACGGAGTTGATATTGGACTGGTTGGCCTTGGCGATTTTCTTGATGCGTGGGTCTGAGTCTTCGACATCGAGTTTGGCGAGACATTTGCCAGAGTCGGGATCGAATTGGTACAGCAGTGAAGAGAACCAGACATTAGCCCAGAGAGTGCCAGTGGATTTGTCATAGTCTAATTCGTTGACCCGCTTTATAGGTTGTCCATCGCAACGAAGAGTGACTACATTGATAGGAATGGGATTTTCATCCTTCAGAAAGTCGCCGGCCCTGTAAGTATAGACTTCGCTTTCCCCGGTCGTAATCCAGACTCGTTGACTCAAGCTGTCTGCCGCCACACCCCATAGTTCTCGATGCTGTCTCATCTTGATGGTGCGTTCCAGAGACACTGGGCCACCCTCTCTTGACTGTGACAACAGATAAATCACCTTGGACCGCCACGTACCCATTAGGAAGTGGTGGTGAGTCTCATTGCTATGCACCAAGTCTGATCCCTCACCGAACACTGTACTAGGAAAGGATAGTCTCGACTCCGGCACACCTTCCTCAAAATCACGAATCACACGAAACTCGGAAGTACCATAACCTCCCACAGACTCATACAAACATAAAGAATGCGACCTCAGACACTCCACGTAACATACCGACGTTCTCGGCTTCCCTCTCGATAACGACTCCCCCGACAACGACTCCAAACACCCCGTCAAACAACGGCCAACCGACGCCTTCCCGCCCGCAGGACTCTCACTCGACAAAACAAACAATCCCTACAGTCGAAGTAGGCAGTCGAACTGCACTACACACGCGTGTGTGTAGCTACACACACGCGTGTGCAGACATGCGTGTTGGTTGCGACGTCACGTTCTGGGGGCACGTGGGTTGTGGCCGGCCCTGCGTGCAACCTTACTTGGGTAAAAGGGGACTGGTAGTGAGGGAACACAGCAACACTCCGAGGGTCGAGGCTGTAATGCGATAAACCACGAGCGGCGGCCAGGAATGCGATGAAAGTGAATATACTCATAAATACCAGCCAGCCGCATCGCCCGGGCTTGAGCTTGAGCCCGGGACTGCACGCTCCAGGGTCGTGGTCAGTGGAGTTGGTTGGTTGGGGAATGGTTAAGGATGGAGCGGCTGAGTGATGTTTCTTCTCGACGGAGTGCCTTAACCAGCTTGGTTAGTGCAGTTTTGTGTACGTCGAGAACGTCATCAAGGACAGCATTGGCTTCCATAAGCGGGGCTAAATTTTGCGTGGATGGGCGCGTTGGCAGATCGTTGACGCGTTGCTTAATACATTGAGCGACGGTTGCCAGTCGCTGGGAGCGAAACAAGGCATCGTTCTGTGTTAGTTCGTAACTTTGTTCGTCTGTTGCGGGAGTCGCGGGTGCAGTGGCAGTTAGCTTGCTACCAAGACGCCATGACGATTCGAACTCTCCCCGGAACTGGCGCCATCGCACCAACTGCTCCTTTGGAGCCGGCACGATTGGCTGCCCGGCCTTGTCAATCGCAGGAGCCCCTTCCAAGAGGTACAAATACCCTTCCTACAAACACCAAGCCTTTTCCACATATCACCCCACAACCCTACTCGAACCTGATCCATCAAATTGTTCAAAGCAATCTGCACCTGCGATATCGCATCACCAGCCGGCGCACTCGGAACACATGTCTTGTTCATCATACCCAAATTTCCCCTCTCAAATATTCTTCTCGGCCCGTCGTGGTGGATCAACGCACTCTAGGTTTTTGCACCACCTCCTATAAAAACTTTCTCACAAGTCAGCATAGAGACGTCCGCGTGCAGCATTACCATTAAAAATCCTTGAGTTGGTTTCCGGATGGTCGTCGGCGGTGACTGCAAAATTAACCAGGACGAACTGCGCCAGGCGTACTCGGAAGTACTACCGACCGTAATAGCTGCTGAACAAGACAAACGACTGCTGAACAAGACAAACGACTCCTGCAAGGCCATCTGCGCCGTATCACAACTGCCTTTTACGCGAGGGATATGGCAAAAACGTCTTTGAAGTTGGAGGAGGATCCCTTACTGGTTTGTCCTGATCCCGGCGTGGCGGTTTGACGCAACCCCGCCATGGTGGTTTTGTTGCCTAGCGGACCACGCTCATGTCAGGCACTCGCGTTAGCATTACCATCACCGAATATATACTCTTACCAGAAGGAATGATCTACGCCGGTTTTTCACTGGAACAGTTCTCGACCGCAGGCCGACGTAGCTACAAACGCGACCACCACGTTGGCCCGATGCGTGCAAGATGACTCAGTGGTGGGTGCTGGGGGTATTTGCGCTCTATCATACTTTCTTCGTCAATTTTGTGGGCCGTCGATTTTGTGGGCCGCGCGATTGACCACTTCGTCAACCCAGTTTTCGAAGTGCTCATTCCTTATTGTCGACTCTCATCAATGACAAGGGCTGCGAGATGACCACGGCGATCCAGTCATCCTTTGCAGACTGTTTTGCGATGACTCTCGTGTTCGCGAACCGCGATTCCTCGATGAAGCATACGTCCGCAGCAACCCATCCAGTAGCGATCGCCATTGGTGTGTCCTGGTGGGTGCTGGGGGACGGCTTGCTAACACCCGACGTAGCCACAGAGCTAGGGAAGAAAACACAGACTACAACACCAACTCGGTAGGTTTAGTCGACGAGAGCAAAGGCATGTGCATTACCATTCTTACTCCTCTCAACAAATTCATCATATGTACAGAATCGCCCTCCATGTAGTCAATCTGAGCCCAACCTCAATCGTTACTATATACCTGCTGTCACGGCCACGTGGAGAAGAGCTCCGATCCGAGTAGAAGACCTCTTGGCATTGGTCGGTGTTGTTGAACCGAGTAAGTAGGTCTAAAGCGGGTGGTTGTGTCTTCGGATTGGGCAGCAGCCTCTATCTTGCGGTGGGTAATCGCTGGCTTCTCAGCCTCCAACTTCGCCGCAATGATAGTCTCCACGCAATGATAGTCCAAGCAACGCAATAATAAACGTGGGTTGTAACATCACGCGTTTATATTCGAGGAGTCGTTGACAGTCAACCGTCGTACAAACAGTGCCCCAGACAGGGTCCATTGAGCCCGATTGAACACGTACTGGGTCCATTGAGCCCGACTTGAACACGTACTGGGTCCATTGAGCCCGACTTGTTTGCCTCAGCGATAATTGCTAGGGCTTCTTTGGGGTAGTCGACGGTTGCAACCATTGTACGAAATAAGGTTCAATGTTCGAAGGTTCAAGTTAGATGTTTCCTTTATGAAGAAAATTTATACGACTGAGTTATAAAAATCCAGTACGCCGTGGTTCCATTTAGTGTGAAGAACAGTCTAATCGTGTTCCAAAGAATTATGGACCAAATCTCAGACAATGTTGAAATAAGTTCGACAATGTTGCCATGGAGGAAGACGGCAGTAAACCATGGTCGAGTCTACCACCCACCCAGAGCACGATAGCGGCCTGAGTTCAGCCACGGAGGACCTGCGCGGTTCTGCTGACGACAGAACAACGATGCATTGGGCGCTAAAACGTGTTCAGTTCGAAAAAAAGGGATTTTTTTTTGTTGAGAAGTTGCTATGAAAACAATACAGTGCAACCCCGCCGAATTCGGTAGCGGCATTGTCGGGGTTTTGGCCGTGAGCACCCGAAGCCAAGCTTCGGCTTTGCTGAACACGAGCTGCGCAGGACCTTCGATCAGTACGGAAGGACAACAGGAGGGTGGCAGAGCGACGGCTGTAGAAGCTAGTGAGTGGGCCCGAGATATCTGGCGACACAGCATTGGCCAAGACCTTAAGTCTCACTTTGCGAAGAACAGGCGTAGGCCGGTGAGCCTTTTCCAATACGTGAAGGAGCAGTGCAGCATGCCTGGTCCGGCAGACGAAGTTCCCCAAGTGCCGTTCCTAACCCGCCGACAGGTGGAAGAATACGAGCAGCGACACGCCCATCCAGCAGCGCTCAAATGGCTCCACCACTGCGATCATCGGTTCTCGCCTCAGTACACAGCAGAGGTAGGGCTACAGGGATTACGGCCGGGTTTCAATGTTACGAGTTACGACTCCGACATTTTCAAGGGCAGGGACAGAATCAAGACAGATCCTGGCGAAACATATCCGGAGGGTCTCGAGGGCTCGGGTCGTATACAGAGATCAGTGCCTGCTTTGGTTCTTTGGGCTTACTTTACTGACGAACGCGCTAAGATGCCATTTGCTCAACGACTACGGAATCTATCAGTGCTTATGCGCTGGTATCCGGCAGAGGTTACCTCGTTAGTGGTTGGTGAGTTTTTACGTCAACTGGAGAGCCGTACTCTGAAGTTCCCTACGGGGGAGCGACTGCTTCAGAACAGGGTAGCGCTATGGCTGTCGGGGTACCGCGACGCAGGAAATAGTGCGGTTAAGCAGTCGATGGTGACTCACTTAGCGAAATACCTAGAGGCAGTGAAACAAGATGCACACGAAACAGTCACCCCTGAATGGACCACTTACACTTCTCTCCGTCGCACTCATCGTGATGCCACCTCGAAGCGATTCGACATCTTAACACGTCGTTACACCCAAGCGTATGAAGCTTGCAAAGACCGACTGCTGTCTGCTTACTTCCCAGTCGCCTCACCGGGCGTCAGCTCACTGCCTGAGGCCTTGTCCGCCGCCGAACATGTGCCTCAATTCCCTGTGGGAGGCGTGTCGAAAATATCCAAGTTCGACGACTACCAAGATTACGAACTGCGCCAGTGGGCATGGATGGAAGAGCTGCTTGTGCGAACTCTGCTAGACAAGCTAGTCTCACATCACGCGACCAAGACTGGTCAAGATCGGAACGTCGTTGCACAGGCCTTACGTGGACCCAATCGTTTTGCGCTTGCAGTCTCCCAAGACGAGATACGCTCGATGTACTCGGAAGTGCTTACCACCGTAGCAACGCGGGCGGCTGCGGAACAAGCTCATGACTATGGCTGCAGGATCCTCTGTGCCGCGACTACTTCCTTTTGTAGCCCGCCAGAGATAAAGACGGCGTCTTTGTAAGACGGGGAAGATGCTATGGCATGTGGCGCCAACAAACCTTTTTTTTGCAACAGACGTTTCGTTCGGGCGGTCACGTTACCTCGATAAGTCAGGCGGGCAGACCACAAGTCGATTATCAGGGGGAAGGTCTCGATCGTTCATCGGCGGGGTTCTGACCATGGGCGAGGTCAATGAATGGTTGATTATTCAGCCACACTCTTAAGGAAGCCTCTCCCTGGCATTGTCTACAGTATTTGTTCTGCAGATGTGTGTGGTGTGTGGTGTTTGACCTTGGTGGTGGTCTCTGTGCAGGCCGAGCTAGGTTGACCTAAACGTTCGTTCGCTGTGGCTGTAGCCTCTCGCTTTCTGGACATCCGCATTCTTCGACTAGCCCTTTGCGCCGGAGGAATGCGTCACGCAGAACTCTGGTTTCAGGCCTCACGGACGGTTGACCTTGTCGCGCCACGTTAGTCAACCGTACAGGCGCATTCTGTTGCCTTAGATTTCGATGACTACGTAGCATAGCGACCAACTGGCGTAGTATCTCTCCATTCTGACCTTACCGACGATAATGGCCTCTTCTGACCATCCGGGTAGAATGGGCTCTCTGCCGGTAACGGCTAACATTGGGGATATCCCTGTGGCGCTGTGGATCGTCACCTTGCAGATGTACACAGCGTGGGCTAGCAGCAGCTTCAAGTCGCAATAGTTACCGTCTTGATGTATCTTGGACATTATGGACTCGAGGGTGCCGTGATTCGATTCGATTCGTTTAGTCCATTCTGTCGAGCTAGGTGTGATGCGATGTGCTTGACCTTCAGCACGGAAGTCACGCAGTCGTGGAAGTCACCTCTGAACTCTCCCATATGGTACCAAGTAGTTAGCTTAGGAACTCGTCCTCGTCGTCCTTGAGCCTAGATAGGGCATCGGCGACGTAGCTGTTATCTCCCGGGATGTAACTAAACTTCAAGTCGTATTGCTGGAGGAACAGAGCCCATCGACCTCCTTGCCTGTGTCAGCCTTCGCTAGGAAAGTGAGATTTGCGGTGGTCGCTAACGACCAGGGTGGGTCTTAGCCGTATGTAAGCGTCCCACTTGGTCACAAAGTACTTCGACCGCCCACAAGTAACTCTCTTTCTCCCACGTCCTAATTACGTTGAGCTTGAGTGAGCTTCTTGCTACGTACTCGGTCACTTCCATCCTGCCGTCGTTGACCTGACCTAATATCGCTCCTACCACGTACTGAGTGGCGTGGGTATTCAGTACAAGCTGCGCATCCGGGTCGGGAGCTACCAAGTAGTCAGCATTTGCGAGGTCCTCGATTACCTGTCGCATTGCTACTTCGTGGGAGTCACGTCGCGCGCTTTGGGTCTTTTGGTTGTTCGTGAGCTCCTGGAAGGGCTGCACCTTGTCGGAGTACCCTGGCACGAACCTTCGGTGGAACGAGAGTAAACCCAAAAGCGACCACAACCGCTTGTAGTCTTTTGGCGAGACGACTGTGCTCAACGTCTCCACCTTTCCAGGCTGGGGCTTGATGCCGCACCTCCCTATTGTCTTTGGGGTTACGGATGGACGAGTGCTCCACGGCGATTTACTCGGATGTGCGACGTGTTCGAAAGCTGACACCGTTGCGTCAACCGGTTCAATCCTCCTTGCGGTGTCTGCGCCCCCAGTCCCACAGCTCCCTCTCCCTCCCTCTCCCTCCCTCTCCGCGTCATTGAACTTCTTGGAGGCGAACGACAATTATTCCGGGTCCTGTCGAGGGTCGTAAAATACCGACGGCCTATCCGGAAGAACCCTTGAAAAACTCCCCAAATACCTTCGTAACCCGTCGACAGATAGAGGAATACGACATGGTCATCCAGCTGCGTTGAATTGGCTCCATCGCGATGTTCCTAATGAGCTATCGCATAGGCAGTTTGCAAAGAACATGAGACTGGGTGAAAGCCTCAATATCAGGGTTTGTTACCGCGACCCTCTCAGTACTTTAGAAGAACCCCGATTTCCTGAAGGAATTGAGGGTTCGGGTCGTTTATTGATGGGTTGTTTATTGAGGACAGTGCTCGGTTTGGTCCTTAGGGCTGGTATTCGGCAGAGGTTGTGGAGTACGTGTACGATGAGGTCTACTGGACAAATTAGTGTCACTACATGCTGCTAACACTGGTCAAGGCTGTGGATACTGAAGCACCGATTTTGTTATAGCACTCTTCCTAGCAGCCTCCGTGATCAACTGGGCTTAATTTTGGGAATACGATCCGAGTATAACGAGAAGTCATCCGTGTGTTGTTCTTGTTGTGTGTCCCTTGCGCGGCGGTCGTTGGATCCGTTTGTTTAGACATTCTTCCAGGAGTTTATCCAATTGTTCAATACCTTGTCCAAATAGTTGAGGTGGGCCGGGCCTTTCTTTAGAGCGGTGCTGACCATTACTTTGACCTCGGCAGAAGTCAGTGGTGTGTCTGTTCGATCGAACAAATCAAACAGTAATTGCAGCTTCTCTCCTGTTCGCTGGGTCTCTGGTCGCTGGGTCTCTGGTCGCTGAGACTGTGGGACGTCTCGCTTGGCAGGCACGACGGCGCCCTGGGCGGGCGGCACGACCAACCTGGGGCTCGCCATGGCCAGAAGCACAGCCACCAGCACAGCTACCATTATTTTTTCAAGATGATAGTTCGTTTACCGCGGTCCCAGTTCGTGGTGAATGGCAGTCTGTTATTAACAGCCCAGCAGTCTTCATCTCCTGAATGGTTTGATATCTTTGTGTCCCAGCGAGCAAACAGAAGTACGTTTTTGGTCAGTGCGAGACAACGACTACAAAAACAGGTAAATCGTCGAAAGACTGAAGTCGAGCGATCCAGCAATGTGGAAGTGTATCAAAGCGAACGTCGCTCCACACAGCGGTTAGGTACTGAGGTGAGTAGATCAGGACTTCCGGACGACACCTCGACCAGGACGAGCTTGTCCAAAAAGACGCCGGACCAACGGTCAGAGAACCAACGGACATCAGAGAACCAACGGACATCAGATGACCAACGCACATCAGATGACCAACGGACATCAGAGAACCGAAGGGCAGATGATCAACGACCGGAAAATCAACGACCAGAGAATCGACGACCGGAAAATCAACGACCAGAGAATCGACGACCGGAAAATCAACGACCGGACGATCAGCGGCCAGGACCAGAGAATCAGCGGTTCGAGGATCAGCGGCGTCGGAGAAGGCGACAACCGTCGCTGCTTCCCGTGTGCGAAGACCTCTTACTGGAGGATCAGCGGCGGCCGACTTCTGTCGTCGCCGGTTCTTCGCGAGACACAGGGACGGCGGTGGATGGATCGGGGGAGTTGGGTATCAAGGGGGAAGGTCGTCGCGTAAACCTGAGTCGCGGAGAGCCGTGTCTGGTGCGGGCACGGAGCGCGGTGGGTGCAGAGGCTGCCGCGCCTGCGTGGTTGTTGGGGTCTTACTGCGAGAGCGCGGCGGCGGAGTCAACGACCAGTTTCGGTTCATTGCCGAAAGTCGGCGGTTCGAGTCCGGGCGGTCGTGGCGACTCTTCTGGTGCGGGTACAGTTGCAGGGGCAGAGTTCGGCCGGCCTCGGCAGATGTTGGAAAGCAGGCGTACCATCGGGGGTGGAGGGGGGTCGAGGCCATCGCCGTCAAAGCCGGTAGTGAAGGTGGTGGACGGGTCTCCACCAAAGTTGATGAGCGATTTGCCCCTCGGCTTGACTGTAGAACTGGCAGAACTAGTGTTCGAAAAAAGTTATATCAGTCGTGGTACCTTCGGGACAGTGTTTCGAGCGCGTTGGCGAGGACGTGAAGTGGCAGTGAAGTTGGCGCATGTTGACTCGCCACCGAGCGTAGAACAGTTACGCAACTTTGAACGTGAGTTGAATGCGTACTGCGCCATGAAGGAGGATCCTAACATCTGTCGGTTCTTCGGAGCGTGTGTCAAGTCGTTACGTTCGCTATTGATCGTAACTGAGTATGTTCCGCGCGGTAATCTGTTTGACTTATTGTTTGACGGCTCTGTCTTTGTAAGTTCGACCCAGCGACTGGGCATGGCTCTGCAGCTGACAGGCGTGATGTATCGGCTGCATTCGCAACGACCAGTGGTCGTTCATCGAGACCTAAAGACTCCGAACATACTGGTTGACTCCAACTTCAACATCCGTCTGTGTGACTTTGGAAAAACACGACTGATGGTCCGGAACTCAATCCAGCTAGATGATAACGGTGGAAGCCCACGTTATATGGCGCCTGAGTGTTACGTGCCTGCTGGTACCATCAACGAAAAAAGCGATATCTGGTCCCTCGCCTGCTGCCTCATCGAGATCTTTGGCGGACCAATCCCCTTCGAAGACTGCTTCGACAACGACGACGTTGTCAGTCGCCTCTTCAGGAATCACGAAAGCCCACAAGTACCACATTGGTTCCTACCCGAAGTCAAGAACGTACTCCTACAATGCTTCCATTGGACACCCACTGAACGCCCTTCCGCCAGAGAACTACACAAGGTCCTCCTCACCCTCCAACCCAGCCAGTTAGACGCACACGGAATGAACGTCAAAAGAATCAAATAACCAACCGTCAAGCACCGACGCCCCGTCGTGCGTGTGTTTGACCAAGCCCACACACTTACCAAAGCACACACCCTTACCAAAGCACACTCAAGCATGCGTATACCCTGGCACGTATGCATGGATCTCTAAGCTTAGTCGGTCTGCCGCGTGGATGCATGGCCACGTGTCTGCATCGTCCCTGATCCGGTCAAACAACCTCGTGCACACCTAAAGGGCGGGCCACGCCTAAAGGGCGGGCCACGCCTATGGGGCGGGCCACGCCTATGGGGCGGGCCACGCCTATGGGGCGGGCCACGCCAAGATAGGCAGTGGTTAAATAACAATGTAGTCGCTGTCCTCCTCTGTCTTGCCACTGCCAGGCTGCGACCCCCCAGGCTCACAGACTTCACGTTCCACAAAGAAAATTGTGGAGGATAACGCCGTACGAATTCTCTCGTAATCTCGTAAGGACTACTATAGATCTTTAATAGGCTTTAATCGATGTAGCCAAGTGAGGATGCAGCCAAGTGATGATGGGGGGGAGGGGGGGAGGCTTTGGGGAAAAGTGGAGGATGATGTCCGGGATAGTGGGAGTTACGTGGCAAAGCAATATTGCGGTCATGGACGGATTTAGTTGTTCCCAGGGGAGTTGTCGTGGACAGTCCGGCAGGATGGAGCCCTGGAGGTTGTTAATGTCCACTAGCTGGTCATTTATTTGAATTGTAGAAGTATCGTAAGGCTGAATGTTATAGAGCGCCGATTGCACACGTGTGTGTGGATCAATATAATACAGGTATCGTTCATTACAGGCAATGAAATAATACGCAGAGGTAGTGGAGTTGCCTCCACAGAGTCCACAAAAACTATCCATTCGAAAGAGAGACATTAGAAAGTCCTTATACCTCACCAAGTCTATTTCGGATAAGCCTAGCTTCAAGGACACATAAATAATCAGCACACCAGGACCCGCACGTTGAGGAGCTGGTTCGAGCACCTGATAAACCCTCTCGTTGACGATGCAGGCGTCTTCAAAGTGTAGTGAATAAATGGGAGTATCAAATATCAAACTTTTTTCATTGATGAGTATATTAAAGAGTTGCGCACAACTCGTAGGACCGTACCATTCCGAGGGCCGTTTATTCAAGTACAGTTCACCTTTGGTAGTGATTTCGTGTATTCCGAACATTGAGTCCTTAGTATCGCAAAAGTAACTCATGATCGTGCATAGTGTTGAAATCGCTTCATATGTTCGGCGACGTCGCCAGGAAGCGCTGTCCGCGGTTGCAGGCCGCCCCAATTCATTGCCCTTGAGCCCCACCTGTTCGAGAACCGAGCCAAGTCCCAGATGACCAATGTGTGTTTGAAGCCCCGCATCTTTCTTCATTGGCGGTCCTAATGCGTTTCTCATGCACTCCTGACCATTAGCAGTGTTGACCTCTCGAACCGACAGGTCGCTACCACCAACTAGACACTTGAGCGCATTTTCCCGAGCACCATAACATAGGATTCTTAACATGACCTCAGCAAGCCCCATCTGGAACACCCTGATTGTGCAACCCCATCCACTATCACTTTCCAACGACCTACGTATTCCGTATCTGCACCACGGGAATGCGATAGGAATGAGCTTGCTTACTTTGAGAGAATGCCATTGAACCAGCCAGTTGACCGCGACTTCCCGAGCGATTCAAAAGAGTGTCTGTAAGTCAAGAGGACGTGTGACTTGAACTCCTCCTCGAAGGCCTTGAGCCCACTTATCGTACTCAGGTTGTACTTACGGCCCTATAAAGGGGAAGAGGTGCATAACACCTGGTAGTCGTGCATAACACCTGGCCTGGTAGTCGTGCATAACACCTGGCCTGGTAGTCGTGCATAACACCTGGCCTGGTAGTCGTGCATAACACCTGGCCTGGTAGTCGTGCATAACACCTGGCCTGGTAGTCGTGCACAACACCCGGTAGTCGTGCATAACACCCCGGGGTGGTCCACAACACCCCATGGTGGTGCAATAACAGAGGGAACAAACAGTGGCTGGTGTGTGTGTGTGTGTGTGGTCACTGATGAGGTCGATACGAAGAGGTAGGTGTATTTGATAAGGTGACTATCTGTTTTGTTGCCAAGTACGGAAATGAAAACGTTCTTAAGATAATGCATTTAGGCAAAATCTTCGGAGCCTTGTTCCGCCATGCCCTCTCTGGTTTCCTCCTGCACTTCCCCGAGATCATCCCCCTGTTCAAAGTCCGCGTCCAGTTGCGGTTGACTTCGGAGCTGTCTTGCCGCAAAACCGGCCGCTACCAACGCCGCGACGACGCCAGCCGCCGCCCCGGCAATGGCTCCCGCAGGCACTTTCTTCTCTCCCTCTGCCGTGGTCCCAGAGGTACCAGAGGTACCAGAGGTCCCAGAGGTACCAGAGGTACCAGAGGTACCAGTGCTGGTCGTGTCGCCCTTGCCGCTGGTACCTGGCCAGTGTGTTGGTGTATCGGCATCGTCGGGTGGTGGAGGCGAAGGCACACGGTTCCCTGAGGGCGTGGGGGGATCAGGGGGGTTCGGGGTCCAGTCGGGGTAGGGATCGGGTATATCAGTGGGGTCTGCGGCGCAGATGTCATACCAGCTGTCGCCTGGACACCATTTGCCACCGCAGGTTGCACATTCGCTCTCGGAATTGCCGCAACTGCCCGACTTTGGTGTGCAGGAGTCGAGACTGCAGGTCTGACTTTGTTCACAACACACACCTGGCTTTGGCCAGACCGGACACTTGATCGGTTCCACCCATTTCAGCTGGCAACTGCCTACTGATATACCACCACCGTTACCACCGTCGCATAGCATATCCATAACGGTAGACGATAAATCAAAGTGCGGGTGGGAACTACTCCCGCACCAATCCACCTGTCCGTACTTCCCGCCGTCGAGCTGGCCGCAGGTGCCCTCGCAACAAGCTTTGGGTACAATCTCCGGCCATGACGCGTCGGTGTAGTACCAACAACGTTGTCCCAAGCCGCTCAGAATCGTCGAACCCGGGTTGCTCACACACTGGTTCGCGTCCGCCCAGGCTGTGGCTCCCGGCGCCACGTCGATGGCAGGGAACTGAATCGTAGGCGACTCGCGTACGTCCTCAATAGTATTTGAACCACCCTTGCATTGTACGTAACCACCGCAGCGGTCGAACACGGCGACCACACGCGACAGCCCATCTGCACCGACCAACTTGTAGCATAGATTATTGCGCTTGAAGGAGGCCTGTCCATAAAATGCATCTGACCCATACATCTGTGGCGGTACGGCCGCGATTCCGTCGATGCCCAACTTGAGCATACACTTTTCAATCGCGTCCACATCAAAGGCACCCTCATACCCTCCCGAGGCCACCGAACCTCCGTAGTGAGTAACGGTCACAGCATGAAACGTCGACAATCCCTCCCACTTCTTGCCAAAGTTATCTTCATAGTAGGTCGACTCGTCACGAGGCACACACTTCCCTGCCTCGCACTTACCGATTTCGGTAGGACAAAACTCACTCCCCGGTAGCGGACCTGTTGCTGTGGCTGGCTCCTGATTGCACGGCACACAATTTGGCTTCCCGTCTGGGCCATACTCCACTGTTTCACACTCTCGAACTTTGCACACAAAACCCATCCCAGGCACTGTCACTGTATCCATGGGGATGTACAGCTCCTCACACACACCTGCATATGCTGCTGAAGCCAGCACGGCCCCTATGACGCGCATGCTCAAGTTTCCCCACTACGCGTGCTTTAACACACACCCCCAACCTTTTACACACACCGACGACCGCTTAACCCGGACCATTGTCAAGCCAAAACACGAACCCAACCAACCTGGTGGTTGCAGACGAAGCAAGGTGGGCTCGCGCATGCATCGACTTGGTGCACACCCAATTCCAGTGTGCGAAGATACGTATGAACCTACACTCGGTAGTTGCACCTGTGCCGGATAAAGGTTGGTGTCTAAGCAAAATCTTCGGAGCCCTGTTGCGCCATGCCTTCTCGGTTGTCCTCATCAGCTTCGCCGAGGTCGTCGCCTTGCTCGAAGGCGGCGTCAATGTCAGGTTGACTGCGCAGTTGGCGGGCTCCCAATCCGGCGGCAGCGAGGACGGCAGCAACTCCAGCTGCGGCGCCAGCGATAGCACCGACTGGTACCTTCTTCTTCTCCTCCTCGTCTTGGCTCTGTGTGGGGAGGTGTGTCGTAGCACCTGTTCCCGTGGCTTGAGTTCCCGGAGTATCGGTAGCACCAGTGGCGTCAGTAGCCCCAGTGGCATCAGTTGCCCCAGTGGTGTCGCCACTAGTAGTAATGGGACCTGGATCGGCCTTGGTTCCCGGCCAGTGGGTCGGGGTGTCAGCGTCGTCAGGTGGAGGGGGCGAGGGGGCCCGGGTCTGACCACCAGTTGGCGTGGGCGGATCAGGGGGATTGGTTGTCCACTCGGGGTAGGGTGTGGGGATATCGGTGGGGTCTGCATCGCAGATGTCGTACCAGCTGTCGCCGGGACACCACTTGCCACCACAAGAGCCACAATCAGTTTCGGAGTTGCCGCAACTGCCCGACTTTGGTGTGCATGATTCACCGCAAGTCTCACTCTGCTCACAACACACACCTGGCTTCGGCCAAACGGGACACTTGACCGGCTCCACCCATTGCAGTTGGCAACTACCCACAGCGATGCCACCCCCGCCACCTGCGTCGCACAACAAGTCCATCAGACGTGTTGACAAATCAAAGTGCGGATGGGAACTGCTACCGCACCAATCCACCTGTCCCCACTTGTCCGTGCCCGAGATCTGACTGCAGCCACCCTCGCAACAAGCTTTGGGCACAATCGCCGGGTCCGAACCGTCGGTGTAGTACCAACAACGTTGTCCCAACCCGCTCAGAATCGTCGCACCCGGGTTGCTCACACACTGGTTCGCGTCCGCCCAGGCCGTGGCCCCCGGCGCCACGTCGATCTGAGGGAACTGAATCGTAGGCAAGTCCCGCACATCTTCGATCTGGGTGGAACCACCCTTGCATTGTACGTAACCACCGCAGCGATCAAAAATAGCGACCACACGAGATATTCCATCTGCACCGACCAACTTGTAGCATAGATTATTGCGTTTGAAAGAGGCCTGTCCGTAAAATGCATCTGACCCATACATCTGTGGCGGTACGGCCGCAATTCCGTCGATGCCCAACTTGAGCATACACTCTTCAATCGCATCCACATCAAAGGCACCGTTGTACCCTCCCGAGGCTACAGAACCTCCGTAATGAGTCACCGTGATCGCATGAAACGTCGACAATCCCTCCCACTTCTTGCCAAAGTTCTCTTCATAGTAGGTAGACTCATCACGAGGCACACACTTCCCTGCCTCGCACTTGCCAATTTCCGTAGGGCAAAACTCACTCCCGGGCAAATCTCTTGTTGCTGTGGCAGGCTCCTGATTGCACGGCACGCAGTTGGGCTTCCCATCTGGTCCGTATACCGGTGTCTCACATTCTCGAACTTTGCACACAAAACCCATCCCAGGCACGGTCACTGTGTCCATGGGGATTTGGAGCTCCTCGCACACTCCTGCATATGCTGCTGAAGCCAGCACGGCCCCTATGACGCGCATGCTATTCAAACAACAGCCCACAACTTGGATGCGTGCTTCATGATCTGGGCATCTGTGCACCCCGCCACCAACATGCGCCGTATTTTCCAGAGCAAAATGCTGCTACCACTGGTCGATTCGGTAACAAAACTGGAGGAGTTGCCAGCCACAGAACAAACCGTCTGCATTGCATCATCCGTAACTGAGTTCGGGGGCGGCATCTGCCCCTCGTACGCGCTTCTGCTCCAGGCAATGAAGAGGTTCGATCGCATTCTCGTCGTAACACGAAGTCGACCGGAGTCGTTCCGAGAAATTACATGGCAAGACGTAACCCGAGATCTGGAAGCCACCATGCAGACGGTCCACGGCCTCTCCGAACTTGTCGCGAAAGAACGAGTCGGTCCGGGCATACCACAAGTCGAGTATATTATCCCCGTACCGCTCACCTTCTCCGACCACTTGGGATCGGGACTTAGCAATCAACCACCGGGATCTAGTGACGGAAACTCTGGGCAGTACCGAATGCGAGATGTTTCGGAAACCGAACAGAACATACTTGGGCAAGGACCACCGGTTGGTCAAGGACCACCGGTTGGTCAAGGACCACCGGTTGGTCAAGGGCTATTCAGTCGCTGTCCGTCCAACACTAGACTCTGGTTGGATCCTAGCGCTTCTCTCATGCCTCCTTCAGACATACCAAAAATTAAGTTCGCTACAGGGGTGTTTGTTGCCGGAGTCTTTCTCTCTACTTCTGAGGACATCGAGCCGTATCGTAAATTGGGACTACAAATCTGTATCGTGCCTCAAGACCAAGAGTTACCCGAAGAACTATCGGACAACACTAACCTGCGAGCACAAAATGTCTCCGTGCTTAAAGTAAACGCCACTACTTGCAAGGTGAAAGGGCTTCTACTTCCACTGCGAGAGTACGAACTGCAACAACGACTTTTCGGCCCCTAACGCTCTGTCGGTTATCATCAAGTCGGTTAAACATACTCTCCTGCACAGACGGTACTCTCCTGCACAGACGGTACTCTCCTGCACAGACGGTACTCTGCTGCACAGACGGTACTCTGCTGTACAGACGGGTCTCCCCCCCTCCCCCCCAACGCCACCACCTGCTCTAACCAGAAGGGTGAGTCGCTTGGTCTTTCCCACATGCCCGCAAGAAGACGTATCGCCGCCAAGTGTATACCCCTTTCCCGCCAAGTGTATAGCACTTTCCCGTAGTGAGTGGAACGACGGTGGAACGACGGTGGTCGGGCGGGCTGGCTGGTTGGCTGGCTGGCAAGGTGGCGATGACTTGATGCCGCTTTTTGTCATTTTTTCGATAGATAAATGGTAGTGGTTCGAGTGGTCTCCAAAGCAGGTCGATTTCGTTTGGATTGTGGTGACACGAGGCAGACTACGGTGAAGGCGTTGAAGGAACTTATATCGGGAAAAATCAACGTGTCTGCCAATGAGGTTGTTTTGTCACTAGACCCAAGAGCCAATGAAGTAAAGCGCACACATCTCGCCATGTTGCACACACCTAGGATACACAGTTAGGATACACAGTTATGACCAACCTCCGGACAGCTGATAATGGGAGACAGTCGGTTGCTGGCGAATTGGAAAATCGGTACAGGAACGGAGATTCACGTCTTTACCCAGTCGGAACCCAGTCTGAAGACTGCCGCGGCTCCCGTGGTAGTGCCTGAAACCGCGCCCGTGGTGGCGCCTGTGGCGGTTAAGAAGGCGCGCCAGAAAGGACAGTCTCATAAGTACAAGACCTTCGAAGAGTATGTGGACGAGATAGACTTTAATGTGTCTCAACTGGCTCTGAGCCACTCGTATAAACCAGTCAAACGGAACCCAGTGGGGCCCACGAAGGTAAGCATCCTTGACAGGCAGTTTCAAACATGTGTGTAAAACGTTCCAATAAAGTGTGCGCACACGTTTCACACACGCGCGTGTTTTTGACGCGTGTGTTTTTGACACATGTGTATGTAGTTGCCCCCGTCGATATCGCTAAAGCACCAAGTATATCGGCATGTGGATCACGTGGAGGTGATGAATGTTGCGGAGTTGGCTGATTTTGTGCGCGAGTGGCGTCGGTCCGATATGTTGGTACAGCGTTGTGGGTACTTGATAGGTTACTATGCTGCGGATGCTCATTATGGTCCGAGTGGAACTCGTGCGGTGGTGGAGGCGGTTTATGAGCCTGAGCAGGTTGGTAATATGGATGGTGTGGAGATTTTGGGTAATCCTGAGACGGACGAGTTGGTGGTACGAGTATCGAAGGCGTTAGGATTGGAAGTGGTGGGTTGGGTTTTTACTCATCTGGGTCGCGATAAGTTGGTCACAGGACCGGAAGTGATTTCTATGGGACGATTACAATTGGCACATGCCCAGGAGAATGTGCACTACACCGGTTATCCTGTATCAACATTTGTAACACTCACGATATCACCGAAAGAAAGTTTGAAGGGTGAACCCGGATCAGATGCGTTCATGATATCGGACCTAGGTCTAGCTCTTGTTCGAGATGGTGTCCTGGATGAACAAACGTTCCCAGAGGATGGAAAGTATTGCAAAATTAGAACTCCCGATAAAGATGAGCTTATGCCCACTCTTCTTGAAACCACCAAGGAAACTCAACAAATGGATACTGATTGGCTACTGGTAAGACTTGCAGAAAGCGCACCTAAACAAACAAGATCTTTTATCAAACGGACACAATTCCCCAAGACCAATCGAGGACCTGCCACCTTTAATGATGTACAAACATTTCTTAACTCATCTCTACCACCACACGAAAAATTAGCCGACCTACACTTTCTAGTGTTCATAGCGCAATCTCTCGGGTTCGAATCCGCCGAACAAATTATCAATGCAATTAAAACCAAAACAGACATAGCCCAAGACTACTATGTATTGCTTAATTCACTCGCTTCATAACCCATCTGGTAACTACACCCGCCTTTACCGTCGTGGAGTCTTCCGGTAATCGCGGATCCCTTAACCCCACCCACCCAGCCGATAATTCCACCCAGACGGTAATCCTGCACTCGACGATGTAGTCGTAGTACCCACCGGATCAAGCGAGAATTGACAACCGGGATTGACCACTGGGACACGAAAACCGGGATTGACATCACGATCACCGAGAGCTCTGATACTCCCAGTTCTGCACCCCAACTCTGGATCGAAGCTCCCCAACTCTGTATCGAAGCACCCCAACTCATTGTTGAGCCTCCACCCCTTTGAAGCTCCTACGACGTAGAATACCCCACGACGTAGAATCCCCTACAACGTAAAATCCCCTACGACGTACAATGTCAAAACCAGAATTAAGCGAATGGGTCAGTCAAGCGAATGGGTCAGTCAAGCGAATGGGTCAGTCAAGCTCGTGGTTGGTCAAGCTCGCGGTTGGTCAAGTTCGCCTATAGTTCAGTTAAGATCAACAAGGTTTGGTCAATTCCGGCCAGTGATGCTTCCAGCAAGTCTTCAGCGATTTCTCGGGAGGTCATTTCAAATGCAAGTTCGTCAGTCATCTGGTCAGCTCTGAAGTGGTAGTGAGTTAATTGGAAGCCCGACATTGTTCTTCGTAATATACCTTAGTAATGTAACCCGACGGTGAATGTAACCCGACGGTGAATGTACCGTCGGAAGGGCATACCCCCCCCCCCCCCCCCGCCGGAAGGGTCCCCCCAATTAGTGTGCCGTACTTGAGGGCTAGTTTCTGTAGTTTTTCTACTTCGACTTCTTTGCGTTCGAAAACGTTGGCGACATATTGGTAGCATGATTCGATAGCGGTTTGGCGTGCGTCTTCTTCACGTGTTCCGAAGACCCAGAAATGTTTGTTCTGTGTTGTTGGAGGACAGGCGCCTACCGAGTCTGCAAGGTGTTTGTTTAGGTAGCCGGAGGCGGCGAGTACGTTGAGACATCGGCGGGCGGTTTCTGGTGCTAGAAGTGCGTAGGATGAAACTTCTGCGTCATTCCAGAAGCGGCTGTAGCGGAGGAAGGCCGCGTTATCGTTACTGCCAAGGTCGGGCATGTTACTTTCCGCCCGCAATTTGGCCGTAGCGCGTCCTTGACGGTCAAGAACGAGTGCAAACACACGTGCGGCATCCGCTCCAAAACGTGCGCTAAGTAACGCATTGAGTGCGCGCGCCTGCAAATGTCCGCGACATGCCTCCCAGTCTAGTTGGTAGGCAGCGCCTGCATCACGCTTAACTACCTTCACACTACGGTCTGCATGCCGACTCATGTTGTCCAGCGCCTTGAATACCTTGTCACTCTCGTACAGTGCCAAAGGCTCTTTATCTTGCCACTGCCCAGACTCGTTCTCCTGCTGCACCAAACGGTTCACTTGCACACACACCTCCTCAAAAGGTGTTGCTTGCGTCACTATACGTCCGTCGAGTCGCCGTGCTGATTGCAACAACGCACGAGCCGTAAATCGTACTATCATTGCATTGCTCCATCGTAACGCCACGAAATTCTCCACCACCTGCTTCGCCATCTCCAAGTTCAACTGCTCAAAGTTACTGCGAAATGCACCCCGAGGCAGCTCTGTCGCCACTGTTTGGCCTCTTGAGCGACTTCCTGCACCACGTCCACCACCACCACCACCACCCCCACCACCACCACCACCACCACCACCACCAGCCGACGGATTAGACGTTGCACCTGCGGCCTTGTCCGATACCCCCTGCTCGTCCGGACCATCTTGGCCAAACAGACGACTCTCGGCAGAGAGCGCCGAGGCCATGTCGATCGCACTGTCCGCAAGCAACTGCACGTCACCACCAACACGACGTTGTCGCACGTTCCGCTTCGTCGCCATCCGTTTCGGTCGCGCATCTTCGTCGCCTCCACCGCGCCGCTTCCTTCCGCTCGTTGGAACCACGTCTTCCACACGCCGCCGTTCGCTCGACCCCGCACTCACTAAGTCGTCCATCGTGCTGCAAGCACACACCACGCCTGTCGCAAACATTTGCGCCAACGTCTGCTTCATCTTGAAGGTAGACACTTCCGAAGAAGACACACTCTCGCCGCCCGCGTATAACGTGGATTTCAACTCTTGGTCTACACAGGCAAATGTCACACACTCATGCCACACAGTGTGTGCTAGAATGTGTGTGCTAGAATGTGTGCGATGTATAATCCCTTACAGTCCCTTATAGCCTCGTCCACCGCCTTGTCTGGGATGACAAAGCCGTGTTTGAGAAACTGTAGCAGTAAGTGCTTTCCTGCTATACCCCAGCGTTGGTCGCAGAAGGCCAGGTACTTGCTGCGGCGGAGACTCATCAGGATACCGCGCTGGTTTACGTGGTATTTCAATACACTAGATCCACTTGGTAAGACCTCAATCAGAACATTGATGCACGAATGCTTATACAATACCAGTAAGGTGTTTTGGAGCACACGTGTGTGTATATGTGTCTGTTGCTGCAGTTCACGTCCCGTCAACGCGCCACTTTTCTCGAGCACACAAACCAGGAGCGAGGCACAGCTCCCATACGAATCTCTAACCAAGGTCTGTAGCAATGCCGGAAGACGGGACATTATCCGCCTCAAAAAAGCAACTACCGAGATTCGGGCGCGGCAGGGATGCACTACCAACCCTACCCGTCGTCTGGTCAAGCCGAACGACAGTCTGGTCAAGCCGAACGACTGTCACTACATTCCCGCCGTTAGAGTAACATATACAGTTATGGTCGCAACACCACACCAAGGCCCGAGAGGATGACCTGAAGGAAGCATGGTTGAGCGGTCCACCACATAAGCGGTCTACCACATAAGCGGTCTACCACATAACCGGTCGACCACATAAGCGGTCTACCACATAAGCGGTCTACCACACAAGTGGCCAAGTTCACGAATCTGTGGTGCGTTAAACCGATCCTACGGGGAACGGGATACCTACATTGGGATTATAGAATGTACTTCCTCAGTCTCCTTATTGATACTAACCACTCCAATCGAGTTAAGACCATACAATAGGTGATGATCCGCGATACATACTTGATCTAAAATACACGCAAATGTAACATGCAATTGTAACATGCAATTGTAACACGCAATTGTAACATGCAATTGTAACACGCAATTGTAACACGCAATTGTAACACGCAAATGTAACTCGGCCGAGTAACTTTGCGTTAATGGGCTAGCTGAATCATAAGGAGTATTACTCGGCAGATTTGTTATCTGTGATCCAAGGGCACTGCGTCGTTCCATAGATTTGATTCTTTTGGTCCTCGCAAGTGTCTTTGAATCAAAGCATTCTAAATAGCCATCAGAAAATAACACCCATGTAGAACCTCGCTCGATAACTAAGTAGGATGGAATAATTGTGGTCGTAGGTATCGGCCACATCCTGGAATTCTTCCGAAGCCATTTACCATCAACTAACTCACACATTAACACTATAAAACCATAAGGTATACCAATCGATGCGCTCGCGGTCTGAGTGGGTGGACCGCCTCCCTCCCAGACCCGGGTGGACCGCCTCCCTCCCAGACCCGGGTGGACCGCCTCCCTCCCAGAATCGGGTGGACCGCCTCCCTCCCAGAATCGGGCAGAGGTGAAAACGTGTTATGGTCATACGCTCTTTTTCGCTCAAAACTGCGACCATAGGTTCGACGTCAAGTATGCCATCTAGTCCAATAATATTGTCATCATCTTCTCGGACGACTTGCTGTTCGTCGACGAGTGAAATATAACCGTCTGTAGTTCGTCGGGGATGTGGTAAGGGGGAGGTGACGGGAAATCTGTTTAAGAAGCTCCGTCTTTGTTGTCCACGTCTTCGTTGTCCACATATTTGTTGTCCGCATATTTGTTGTCCATGGTCCTTCAGAGCGGCGAATACTGTGGAGGTTGCTGACCGACTGGTCGAGGACCGCTCGTCATCGTGTGATTTTGTGTTAGTAATTCGGTAACGCCGAAAGGCGATGGTATTTGAGTTTTTAACATAAGACACCACGACATTGTCCAATGACTGGTCCGCCAATACCGTGGGAGTTGCTAAGGTATATGGACTACCTTGGAATCGATCCCTGACCTGCAAGGTTTTGCAATCCACGACCAGGTGTTCACCTTTTCGATTGGACCTACGTAGAAACGATTTCTACATCTTGATTTCACTTACACTAACGTGAACATGTCTATGACCTTAGCACTAACCAGAACCAAATCACTTAAAGGTTCTTCGATCGCTCCTGTTGTACAATGGCCCGTACTGATATCGATGGCAGCTATTCGTCCATCCGTGCTGCATCCCACAACTGTGTCACCTCCTATAGCCAGTGCAGAAAGTACAGCCAACCCGGGCAGGCTAATTTTCTGAGGCATAATGGGGGCCATTGATGGAATAATCAGACAGGAAGCATCACTAGACCTGTATCAACAAGGGTCTCTCTTGTGGAGTAGACCCATTGACGGTGACGAAAGTAAACTCCGATTCTATGTACACTGACTGACGTGATGCATAACCCGTCGATGGTTCCATGGAACCGTTCCATTTCAGAGATAACGGACAGTGAGCCGGGGGTTTGCAACATGCATCGAGAAAGAGGTGACAAGAAAGTCATTCTGAGTGACTGTCTAGATTCGACCATGATTGAAGTGTCTAACACACATGGGGTACCCAACAAGTTTACGATCATTGATAAAAGCTCAGGAGCTGGCTTATATAGCGCAACCGTCCCCGGTAATTTAATTGACGCTAAGGTCAGTGGAAACAAGGTGGCAGTTATTTACTTTAATACTGACAGTATGAGACATGAACTAAATGTAGTCGAGTTTTGGAGCTTATTCCCTGCCGTCGAATCTTTAGAGCGCATCAAAACGACTTGGTTACCAACCATGTTTCCACATAAAGCTCTTGAACACGAGCCAATTACGTATGAAGCTACATACATTGTGCCCGTACCGAGTGCTTCACAAATCGCGTTCACTCACACCCGAGATCATATCACCCCTCAGACAATCGTAATTGTAAGCACTACACACACTTTCGTTACATCGACTGCCCCTATTAACCATCTTCATGCTGCCAGCATTCCCCCTCGGACGGGACGATCTACCAAGTGGACCCAATGACGTTGTCAGCCAGGAGGGCTTTGTCTCCAAGCGTGGTGGAAGCAATGGATCCCGAAGGTCGTATGCCTTTGGCACAGGTCGAGACAGACGTTCCATTATATGATCCGGTGCTTCCCGTCAGGCCTGCGGCTTTTGCAGTGGAGAATGGCGACTTGGTCACTGGAATAATTCCCCATGCGAGACTTCGCTGCGAGCCAAGTGCTCTGGAATCCACCTCGATATGTCAGTACGGAATGACGGATTCCTTCAAACTATCTCCAGCACGGGTAAGCATCATATCCCCCCCCC